CAAGAACTTCAAGATGCTATAAACAAACTTCCATTGAGACATCCAATTGACGTCAAATTGTATTGGAGAGCATCTGAGTTAGGTCAGAAGGTTTTATATGAAACAGGTTGCTTCGACGATGTTTATGAGATAACAGGAGAAGTTTCTCAGAAGATAAGAGACTCACTTGAATTTCCACAAACTGGACCAATTGGTTGCGACAAGTTCGACTCAGATGAAAAGATATACTATGTCGACCTTAACGCTGCATACATGAGGTTCGTCCAATATATCCACTGGAATTCCAAACGAAGATGGTGAGTTCTCCGGAAGGAACTATACAGTTGGAAAAGTCATACAACAACTGTATGATATTAGGAAAGCTTCAAACCCCAAACTTGCAATGACACTCAAATTGCTTATGAATTCGACATGGGGATATTCCATTAAGAAACCTCAAGAGATGAAGAGTAAACATTATGAGAAGGTCGACAACTTTGTTGAAAGGTTTTCTCCTTTTGTTTTGAAGTACGAATTCACTCAAGGTCAAAGTGGCTTAGTAACCACATTAAAACCTATTGTCGAACATTGGTCTTACCCTCAGTTCGCAAAGGCAGTCCTTGACAACTACAACAAATTCTTCTCCGAAGTCAAATCCAAAGTGAAGGTTTACTATGAGAACATTGACGCACTCATGACGAACGAAGAAGGGTACAACAAACTCATTGAAATGGGCATGGTCGGTGAAAAGATGGGTCAATTCAAATTGGACAAAATTTTCACCGAAGTTCATGTCCTCTCCAAGCGTAAGTACTGGGGCATACTTGAAGACGGCACAGAAATAAAACATTGCATGAAGTAAAAAATTTTTATTCGAATTTGAATCGGACAGGTCGAGTTACACCATTCTTGGTCTCAAACTCATATATAACCTGTTTGTTTGTATTTTCGTCGACTATGGCACGAGACACGAACATTGACCAAACGGACAAAAAGTGTCATTTCAGATGGTCCCGCAGCCAATCGCATTCGAGCACTTCGAAGAAGCCTTACGTTCCAAGGGAGAGGGTGTCTGGTGCAAGGCAGAGGTCATGAAACTCTACGAGCAGTACATCCTCAATGCCTGGGAGGACAAATCGTCCTTGGATTGGCAATTCTACCAACTCCTCTGGGACGACCTCCTAGCAACTGGGACGAAAGAGTCCAATTCAGGGGTCAGGAACTAATTGTCCAAATTACCCTTAATTTAACCTTAATGAACTAAACACCTAAATTTACTCGGGGTTTCCCCCTAAAATAAAATTTTTTTACTCTTAGAACCACTCGAGGTTCTCCTTACGGTTGTTGAGCTTGTCACCGTCAATGTGTCTGACCTTCGTCTTCTTGTCTGGATTTGGAACCCATTGAATTGCGACAAGCTTGCCCATGGAGATTGAACCGCGATTCCGAAGGTTAAGGTTCAAGTGTCCCAAGTTGTTGAGGACTGGGGTAAGAACCTTGCCTGTCTCCTTGTTGCGGATTTGTATGGGTAGGGTTGGGAAATTTCGTAAGTGTCATCGGCAACAAGGGTTGCCCAAACTTCCTCTTCTTCGTGTTTCTCTTCTTCCTCTTCTTCTTCGTGTTTCTTCTTCTTCGTGTTTCTCTTCTTCCTCGAAAATTCCTTCTTCAATTTGGTACTCACGAATTACGGTGTTGGAGGTTCTGTCCTTTCCGAGTACCTTCCAGATGGCGTCTATCTCTTCGAAGAAACGGTAGATGAGTCTGGCAAGGTCTCGGTTCTCTCTCGCGTAAATGCGCAAGGTTTCCGTCAAATCATTCAGGCATTTCTCATTGGAAGCTTGGTTCATGAGGACATCGGCTTTGAGCTTGGTCATCTCTTCCATAAGACTACTTTGGAGAGTCTTAACGGTGTTTGTCAGATGAGCTTTCAAATTCAAAATTTGAATTTGAACTGGGCGCTTGTCTGGCAACATTGAAAGGACATCTGCCATTGTGTTCGGCTTCGGTGCTTGTTCGGACATCGAAAAAATGAAGTGGTTTGAGAATGACGGTTTTACTTCAAAAAGCTTGTTATGACGGTTAAGTCATACAACAAGTTTAAAATAATATCTTGTTCTTCTTCTGAACGTTTGTTGTCTCTTCCGATAAAAGTTTCGAACATGAGAACCAAAAAACGTTTTTTGAGATTGCGGAAGAGTTCAGGCAAACGTTCATATTCTGGATATGTTGGGAGCAGTTCAAAACATCTGAGCTGACTTTCGGACAAAATTGGGACAATGTCAGAAAATTCATCTTTGGTCGGACTGCTTGAAGGTAAGTCCCTTACATGTAAGTAGCTCTGGTAAAGTCTTCTCATTTCTGCTAACTTTTGGAGTATAGCTTCGTAGTTTAGAAGTTTTAATTTTAATTGTCTTATTCCACTCTTGACATCTAAACGGTAACTATCCATGAGGTCAAGAGTAGCTTTGGTAGCTTTAAGTGGAGCTATCTGTTCCTTGACTTGTGCAATTTTGGTTGCAATTGTGGTTTGAGCTCCTTCAAGTTCGCCGTCTATGTCGTTCTCAACGCCTTCAACCATGGCTTGAAACTCTTCATCGGTCCATTGAGATTGGTGTGGGACGAATTTAACTTGCTTCATTCAAAAAATGAAAAAAAAATGTTTTTACTCAAAACGTTAAGGTTGACTGAACTGGTTGGATGTCGCCTTCACAGGTTATGTAGAACGGCTGACCCGAGAAGTGAAGGAGAGACTGAATTGCCAATTTCATATGGGGTAGGGGGTTCTCCTTGTTTGGTATTTTTATCCAAGGACGTTTGTTTAGGAACTTAACAAGAGCTTCTCTTTTGGCGTCCTTTATGTCGTCGTAGGCTGTCCCGTCTGGTATTTGAATTGGAATTCCAGTCGAAGTCTCGAGCTGAAGTGTAGACCTTCCAGAAATACTGGTGAACTTGACCTTGGGCTTCATTACCCTGCGCAAGTACTGCTTAACAACTTCATTTATCTCTATAAGGTAAATTGCCTCGTCAAATCCTTCTGGCATTCCGAGTCCTTCCATCCGACAGGAAAATATTTTCCCGACAACTGGAAAATATTTTCCCGACAACTGGAAAAAATTTTCCCGACGACAGGAAGGACTCTTCCAGTTGTCCGTCCGTAAACCATTCAAATTTTCGAAAATTGAGAACTTTTGGTCGAACTTCAGAAAAAGTTTTTCCTTCCGACAGGAAAGGTTTTTCCTTCCGACAGGAAAGATTTTTCCTTCCGACAGGAAAGGTTTTTCCTTCCGACGGTTAAGCCACAAACAGATGTCCGACGTACCACCAACCGAGCCCATTCCCAAACCAGAGGAACCTAAAGCACCAGCCCCTGCACCTCAGCAACCTCAGTTCCAGCAAGTCCTCCACCAAATTACTACCAATTTCCACCTCAAGGTTACTACCTACCACAAGGCTTCCCGAACTACCCTCCTCAGCCTATGCCTTACTGCCCTAACCCTTGGATGTTCATGTCAAACCCTCCACCCCAATTCCAATTCCAATCTCAATCCAAGAGAGACCAAGAGTTCGAAGAAGGTCTGAACCGTTTACGCAAAGAGTATGCCACAGCCCCTATGGAAGACGACAGGCTTTCAGTCTCTTCCCTAAGGTCGACCAATTCGACTCGTACCACAGATTCGGTTCGTGACCGTGACGACTACCTCAAGCAGTCTGAGAGACTCTTCATCCTACAACCATTTACAGTTGGAGCTCTCAAGAACATGCGCAATTACGAAGGTCAGACACCAGCTGGAGACCGCAAAACAGACGTACTCGCAAGAGCAGTCCAACTGGTCAAGACAAAGACCGAGATAGTCGACTTCATTCTTGCAGCTTGCCCATACAAGTAAAAAAATAAACAATTACGAGTTAAACTTTTTACTCTTTCTTTTCTGAGTTGTTTAGAGCTGGTTTCTCTTGTAGAAACCTTTCGTACTCTCCATGGTCATGTAATTGCGAATTTGGTACGCAATTCCAGGTTCGTTGTTTTTGAACCTTACGTATGTAACGCTTCCATCCTCCTCAGGGAAGTAAGCTGCTAACATCTGACCAAGTTTTCTCGGTGACTCGGAGCTCATTAAAAATGTCACTTTTTAAACGTTAAGTTTTTAGTCTTATTTTACCCTTTGTTTACCCTTTGTTTACCCTTTGTTTGTCAATGTAGTATTGGAGTGCAATTTCTCCAAATTCTCTGTGTCGGAGTTCTTCAGCATTTTCCAAGGTGTGCCTGGAGAACTCAAAGAAGTTGTCAAGAACATACTGCCATGCTGCTCTTCTGAGTTCGTCGGTATTTTGGAAGTGTTGCACCTTCGAGTCTTCGGACATGAAAAAATAACACTTTTTCTATTAAACCGTTTACAATTTGAATTTTGTTGCTGAATTCAGCAAAAATATATTTTAGGGTAGATGGGTATATCTAACCTGTTTTCTAACCTCTTTTCTACCCTCTTGAATTTGTCATGAGTTTTACTCAGAATTCGGCAAAAATATATTTTAGGGTAGATGGGTATATCTAACCTGTTTTCTAACCTCTTTTCTACCCTCTTGAATTTGTCATGAGTTTTCCCGAAATAAAAAATAAAGTTGGTTTTTTTAAAAAAATATTTTTTTATTTTTATTGTAAGAACATGTTAGCAACAACAGCACCAAACTCGTTAGTCATGAATCCAACATCTATGTTAGTAGAGATGAAAAGCTTCATTCCTTCTTCATATACTTTCGAAACAAAAATCCAGAAGATAAAGCAAGAACTTTTAACAAGTACTTTGGACTGTTGTGCGAAAGATGAAACAAATGAACAGTATCTTTATGACATGCAGGACCTCATTGACCATCTACCTAAACTTCCTGAAATCCAACAACAAAAGCTTACTATTCCAGAATTCGATGAAATAGAAGTCAAAGCAACTGACTCAGTAGAAATAAAGAAGTTCATACGAAAGGTTAACTATGAGTTTCTTGGATTTCATTGCAACCACAAAGTCATGGACAAAGATTGCGATATGGTATATAAGAACATCTCTGACATATACAAATCTGGGGAGTTTAAGACCTACGACAACTTTGTTTCGTTAGTTGCTGAATGTGTATGGCAGATAAGAGATAAAGATAAAAGAGGTAAAGTATGGAACGAACAGATAAAACCCGCAACTTTTGAGTTAAAGAGAGCAATTGACGCCTTAGTCATACTAGCAGGTAAGGTTTCAGAATATAACGCAAAAATGAACCCACAATGTTCTAAATGTAAAGCAGCAATGAGGAAATATAACTACTCCGTCAAAGAGATAGAACGTATGAGAAACGACTATGCTGACTTAAAGAAAGAAGTAGAGAAACCAGCAGAAGATAAAATGGACATGTTGACATTTCTGAACAAAAACTATCCAACAGCTGACGATTTCCTTCTTTCAGATGTCAAGAAGAAATATAAAGAAACCTTCGGCATAGTTAAAACATTCGATGTACTGACAGAAGAAATAGAAGCTACGAAATTGTTTAGAATTTCACGAATTCACAATGTTTACCATGTAAAACGCTTATAAAATAACTGGGGTAGAAAAGAGGTTAGAAAACAGGTTAGATATACCCTTCTACCCTAAAATATATTTTTGCTGAAAAAAATGACCAAATTTCATGAAATTCTCTAGACGACTTTTACAGGGGTAGCCAAAACTCATGAAAATCGTAAAAAATAAGAGAGTATTTTGACAACTTCAAACAAGTAGGGTAGATGCACTCTTTATTTTTCAAGCTTGACTTTTTACAATTTGAACTTTGTTCGCGTAGATGTGAATTCTGAAAGAAGTATGAGGGTCTTGTATGACTTTGTACTTCTCCCAGAGTTCATGTCTGTCAAACTTACCTGCCATGGACTCTTTCATAAGTTCCATGAAATCGTCTTCGGACAATCCAGGGAAAAGTATGATATCAGTAAGTATTCTTTTAACATCCTTACTTAAACTCTTTGCTGTCTGTACACAAATGACAACTGAGATGTTAAAGTGTCTAGCTTCTTAAGAATTCGACACATATCTTGTTCTCTGTTCTTTAACAAAGGATGAGAAGCAAAGTCATCTAAGATAAGAAGACATCTATGAGGGTATGTCTTCCAATCGTAAGATTGCAATTTCTTCGAAATGTATTCTATCTCTTTCTGTTTGTTTCTGAAGTGTTTCTTCTCTAATATTCTCTGCATTTCCTCATTTGGGTCTTTAAACTTAGAATTGACATACTCATTTATAGCATTATACTTCAAAACTCTTCTTTGGTACTTCTTTATCCAATCTAACAACTCAGTATCCTTTATACATACTAACTTAGACTTCTTTATAATATCTTTGAACGAATTTACGGTTTGGTCAAATTGACCAGAAGTACTACAAATGACTACTAACTCATAGAATGGGTTCTTCTCATCTAGTTCTTGTTGTTGTGCAGCCATTTTAAGATAAGTGAAAGTCTTACCCGACCCAGGTGGTGCAATTAACCTGTTATAACCATTCTGAGCAAATAAGAACTTGTCATGTATAGGCTTTATCTGAGCATTTTCTAACTTCCTCTTGTTCTTGTTTAAAACATCTCAAATTTCTTGTCAATGTCAGCAAACTTTTTTTCTAACATATTTTTAAAAAATTAAAATTTTTATCTTTAGAAAATGTCTAGCGATTTCGCTATCTATATTCGAGACAAGCTTTTTTGACTCTAAAACTTCTGTCGACCATAAAATCTTACATAGTGTAAACAAGAAAGGTGAATTTGTTCTAAAGTTCTGTTTCTGGGAATATGACAAGAACCATAAAACATTACAAAGAGCAGTCTTAAAATTTGTCAATGACAGACTTGTTGACAGAGATGACGCCGATTGGAAAGCTGAAGTCCAACAAAAGTTCTTAGAATGCAAAGAAGACACATGCGCTGTTCTTGAAGATGAAATAGAAAACAGAATAGATGAGCTATTAAAGGACAAAGAACTTTTACATAAATATGGTTCTGAGAAGTTTGACATAACTCCACCAGAAAAGAAGAAGAAGAGAGAAAAGAAAGAAAAGAAAGTAGAAGAAGAGAAGAAAGAATCTGAACCAGTTCCAGAGCCAGAGAAAAAGAAATTTGACATGTAAAAATAAAATTTTATTTTTAGAACATTTCTGGGTCAATGTCAATGTTCTCTTCCTCTTTAGGAGCAAACACTGGTTTAGACTCTAAAATCTTTTTACCCAATTTACCTTGAACTTCAACTATCTTAGACTCATAATATTCATAGTCGTCTGCTTTCTTTGGTTCATAAGGTATAACAAGTTTGTATGCTTTGCCTTCTTCGAGTTTTGAGAACTTTCTGTCAAAATTTTCTTTGACTGCTAACAAACCTTCTATGTCTAAGTCTTCAAAAGTTGCACCACTTTTTCTAACAACAGCAAACTTAACTGGTGCAATGTTCCAAATTTTGTCAAATGTAGACTTTTCAAAATTGTAGAAGTAAACATTCAAATATGTGAATGGGTCTAGTTCTTCTTTAAGTCCTGACATGTACTTGTTTACTGAGATGAATTTTGCCATCTTTTCTATCGGATAAAAAAATATTTTTTTTAAATTTACTCAGAAAAATTTTTCTTTGTATATACGCCATTCTGAACATCTAAAAGACTTTTGACATTTGCCAAGAATGTTCGTTTAGACGCTGTCATATAACCATACTCTTGACAATATTGTTTATACGAATCGTACAATGACCTTTCATCTAAACACTCAAAGTCAGTTTCATCTATGAACAGTTCATATACACTCTTGTTTGCTTCTAACAATGTTTGTCTTTCTTCGGTATGTGGAATTTGTCTTGGATTGAACTTTGAAATATCTAATGTCATGAAATATGAGAACAAGAGGTTGTAAAAGTTAGGTGTCAAAGTTTCTGCTAAGTCGTCAAAATATTCTGTATCTTGCATATGAGAATCTGACGTTCTGACAACTACATATCTTCTGTCAGAACTTTCTAACTTCATCGGAACGCATTGTTTGAAACCATAATGAAATTTGCAACATTTTCACAAACTCTTTGGTCTTTATATTTTCTTTCAACAACTCCAACTTTGTCTGTTATAAGACTCTTCAAAGCATCTGAGTTCAAAACTTTTGTTGTATCTATACTTTGAAGTTCATTGCAAACTATAAGTTTCATATTCTCTATTGAGAGTTAAACTTACCGCAGATGTTTTCTAAGTTTGTCATATTAGGGTTCGAATAGCCCTCTAACAGTTTGCAAAATATCTGTAAAGAAGTGTTCTTACCAGTTCCTTGTTTTCCAATTATAATGAGAGCAGTTTCATTTTTAGCACTTGGATGTTGTAAGATGTTTGCAAACCAACATAAGATATACTCATAACTCTTTCGTTTCCATTGCATATAATTTCTTTGACATGGTCTAACCAAGCTTCTATAATATTTTCTTTCCATTCTACTTGTTCGTATTTATATCCAGTGAAGATAGAATAGAAGTTTGGAGAAGGTGTATAGAACTTTATACCACGAACTGAAAAATCTTCTAACTTTGACAATAAGATATCCCAAGCATCTAACATCTTCATCCAACTTGTACGACTTTTATTTTCTTAAGTTTCTGTCTACATTCTTGTTCTGAAACTATTGTTGCTCTTGGTTTGTTAAAGACAACATCCCATTCTTTCATGACATAACATTCTGGGGCAGAGTCAACATAAATGACTAAACGTTTCAAATTCTCGACTGCTTTGTTATAGTCTCTAAATGGACACATATTTCTGAACGCTTGGAAGTCATAAAAATCTGAAAGTCTATTCTGTACATTTTTATAAAAATAAAAAAAAATATTTTTTTATTCTTGACTTTGTTGCATTTGTTCCATTTGTTGCATTTGTTGTTCTTGAGCTATTTGTTGTTGAAGTTGTTCTTGTAGTACAATACTTTCACCAGTTGCATCTTCCAATTCGAAACTTTCTGCCGTCATTGACAAATACATAGGACATAAAAGTTTTACAGGAACAAAGTTTGCGTCAACTAATGTAAGTTTATGTTTGCTAAAGTGTTTGAGTTACTAAAGCTGAAAACTCTGCATTCGAATGAACAATAGGCAAACCAGCAGAGAAAGTGTTGTTTATACGCATGAGTATCTTTTGGTCATAGTAGTTTCTGTCGACATTCGAATAGCACTTTGAACCTAAGTTTGAAACAATATATAAAATAGGTGTACTTAAAGTCAATGGAACAGATAGACCTTGTATGACACCTTTTCCTGTTATAGGAAACTGTTGGTAGTAAAAACCAGATATAAGTTTTGTATTATAGCTCATATCGTTTATACTAAACTCAGTCGGACATCCAAACATAATGAAACCTGCTCTAGTTGCAGCACATGTTACATCCGTCCTTAAAGTATTAAATAAGTCAACAAAACCTGTTGGTGGTATATCTGAGTAAGTATCTTCAAAGAAGTATTTTTTACCATTCACAACAAAAGTCTTCTGGTGTCAAAAGAGCAAAACAGGCTTTAGTCGTCATTGTGTTTAAGGTAGTTTACAATATCGTCCTTGAGGACTTTGTAAGTTTGTTGTTATAGAATTATATGACTCAGGGTTTTTAGTCGTAATAGTATAAACCACTATGTCTTCTGCCATTTACTTAGCAAGTAAATTTTAATGAAATGTTGTGGTCGTCAAATATTTTTATGACGTCTGGGAAACTATATTTTAAGTTCAACGTTTCACCTCCTTTCATAACGTATATCTTGTCAATGACATTATATGAAACACCACAGCAAGCAATGTCGGGTTCTATTTCTTTGATGTTTATATCGTCTGCCTCTGTCAAAAGTTTCAATAGTTCTTTCAAAACTTCATGAGGTGCAATGACATATGAGTTCACTTTTACAGGGTTGTGTTCGACCAAGTTTAACATTATACCAAAGCTTGACAAATCTTCTCCTGAGTTTTAAGTTTGTCTTTAAGTTGTTGGTAGTCGTTTCGAATATCTGCAACAGAACTTAAGTCTCTGCTAACTTCAGGATATGTTGGTTGTTCTTTTACAGGAACTATTGTTATACCATCTTCGTCTTCGTATGGTTTCCCCACTTCAACATCTCTTTCTTTGACATTGACAACAACACTTTGACTGTTTGTTTGAGTTGGTGAATTTAACTTCACATCTGCCACCGCCATTAAACCTTTTGAAACACTTACGCTTCTATTTTTCGGAAATGACATTTTACTTAGAATAAAAAGATGGACGTATTTGAGTATCTCTTCGAATTGAAGCAAACAAAGTTTACACACACAAACAATACAAGTTCATTGACAGAATAGTTCTTTACACAAACAATGGAAAATGTTATAGAATAGCAGTCTTTGCTGAACCAAAATATTTTCATAAAGCAAAGAAAGTTGGTATAACCGAAATGGTGAAAGTTCTTGAAGCAGACAAAAATATAACAACAAAACTGACGATATTTCTAAAGGTAAGTTTATAATACAATTTATGTCAAAACTGGCGTACTGTCAATATTTGACGGAGAGAAGTC